TTTACAGAGTGAGTTCCAGAACAGCCAGGGCTACACAGAGAAACCCTTTTTTGAAAAACCAAAAAAAAAAACAAAAAAAAAAAAAAAAAGAATACTAAAACTAATGCCAGAGTGGGATGAAGGAAAATAAGTAGATATTGCAATGTTTTGGTGAGGTCTAACTTCATCCAGGTAAGCTATAATGACATTGAACAAAATTCTCATAAGGAAAATACAGTTAATTAAAACCAGAAAAAAAAAAGTGCACATTTCACGAAAGAAGAAAAGAGGAATGTGATCAAGTAGGAACATCCTATTTCAAGTCAGTGTCAGAACAGTAACATGGGCTGGGCTGTGGTCTAGACTGATTCAGGTTTACTAAGGTTTGTGAAATATTTGTAAAATATCTGTGAAATTTTAGTAGAAAGAAAACATCTACTGTATCAGCAGTTCTAAACAAGAGCGTGTGAATTGTTTAAGGGACCCAGAGCAAAGGGCACACCAGGATTAGGAGCACAGCAAATTGTGAGAACTCACATGACATCTGCCTTCATCTGTTGGCTTACTGACAATTACTATTGTGTCTATATACACAGGCACATTTCTAAGAAGACCAGCATAATAGATTCCTGTTTAGGGCAACACTAAATAGAAATATAAAAAGTCAACAGCTATGTGTGATTGTATATGCTTGTAATACCAGTACTTGGGAAACTGAGGCCAACTTTGGTTACACAGTAAGTAACAAGGCCACCTTGCATTAAGGAGTTAGATCCTGACTCAAAATCAAATGAACCAACATTGAAGGTGCATGTGGGTTTGAAGCCATTCAATTCTATATACTTAGTTTATCCTTACCAAATTTCATTTAAAATTTAACAACTATATTCTGTAACCATTTACTATTCTGCTATTTCAGGTGTGAGGGTTGTTCTTTCATTAATGATACATGAATCGTGTCTCAACAAACTGAAGCAACATTTCTGAATAAATTATTGCTATGTTTAGAAATAATTGACAGGTATTTAAAATATTAAGTAACCACATTCAGACATGATTTCATTGCCCTAGATTTTCAAATGTGTGTTGGTTAGACTGTTGCTGAGTTCTGTAACTGACAGGAACAGAGATACAGAAGCACAAATTCTAATTCAACATATAAAAATTGAATAGGCTAAGAATTTTAATAATATAATCTGAACCTCAAGGCCTGACCTTCAGTAACAAAGCTGTAGTCTTTGATATGAGCTGTTTGCTTCACCATCTTTTCTGGGGCTTGGCTTTGGGAATCCTGGTCTGGAGGGGGGCACTGTGGGTTTGCAGGATCACATTCTCTAGACGTTGGCACCTGCCCCTTTTCTAACAGTAGATGGACCACCTGAGAAAATGGAACAGTGCATCATGAACTGAGGAGAATGATGAACTAGATTACGTTTTAGGACTTTGAACAGCAGGAGGTATAATACAGTAACCGACTGCTTGGTCCACCAGAACACAGGCAGAGAAACGACATGGAAGCAGAAGAACAAAACTGAAGGTCGTAAAATAAAGCTTTTAATTATTTCCTACATGAAAATAATAAGAGAAAAAAGCTATTATCAATCATGTCAAAGACATATGTATGCTGTGTGTGTATGTTATAGATAATTTGGGTTTTGGGGGAAGGTTACCAGGCAGTAATTATAAATATCATTATAAACAATTTAGTCAACTCCTGGTTGAAAAAGTATTTGAACAACGAATCTAGCTTTCGGGTTGAAGAACGAGAGGAGTGAAAAATCATTAGAAATTTACAGATGCAGTCTCCACCACTTCCCTTCAGGCTGTCTGCTAAAGCAGGGCTAAACAGGACCCGGAGGGTGGGCCTCCTCTGTGGAGACTCTCCTCAGCATGCGCGCTTCCTGACTTGGATGCTGAGCATCCGCAGAGCTGCCTTAGCTTCCTGACAGACAGGTTCAATCCCACTGACATCATCTCCACACTGCTCTCTTCTAAATGACCATGGTAGGTTGATCTCGTGACCTCTTACCTGCCCTGTGTTCCTTAATGTTTCCACAGCTTGCTTGTGGGTGGCTCCTTCCAGACTGACTCCATTAACAGCAAGCACACGATCACCTGCAAGTTAGGGAGTTGTTTTGGAAGATGTGAATTAGAAAATAAACATTCTAAAGGGTTTTTTAATACCCAGGGGCTCACTTCACTTTGCTTTGGGGAGAGACTTGGATGGAGTTTGGAGAGAACTGTATACTGTCCAAGTGTACCCGATAATCCAAAAGAATGTGGAAAGGAAACACTGTTAACCTAAGTGGATGTGACAGTGAGACCCTGCCCTCCTCAGGCTGGCCACAATGTGTGACCCCTGCCTCACCTTCCCAAGCACAGGTCAGTAGGTATGCACCACTCACCTGGCTAGAATAATGTGAACGTATAGCAACAGACTTAATCCACTGCTCAGAGACACTGAGCGCACACTGGCAACACGTTTCCAGCAAGCTCTTCGTGACTTTCAGTCAGGGACTCCCCACTTTTACTGTCTCTCCTCTCCACAACACTATGCTGCTGAGCACAGTAAGAAGCCACGGAAACCCTTAACCATTTTCTGCTAAGGGATAAACTGCAAGATGGGCTTTTGCTGTCGCATCGAGTAGTGCTTTTTTTTAATAGTTATTTTTTATTTAATAGTTATTTTGCTTTATTCAAGAGTACTTTGCCTGCAAGTACGTCTGTGCACCACATGCATACCAGCTGCCTGAGGAAGCACTGAGCCTCCAGGTGGGTGCTGGAAATCACACTCGGGTCCTTTGCAAGAACAACAATTGCTCTGAACCACTGGGCCAACTCTCCAGGGCACAGATTTTTAAATGTTGTTTTACAGCTGAGCATAATCCTGCATGACTTTTAAACTCTGTAATGTCTTCTCTCTTCTTGCTTTTTTGAGACAAGGTCTTTCTATTTAGCCCTGGATAATCTTGAACTTACCTTGCAGAGAGGCCTGAAAACTCAAAGAGATCTGCCTGCTTTAGCTTGCTAAGTACCAGGGTTAGAAGTATGCACCATATTTGTTCTTAATTTGTTATTTACTGTGGTATTTGTGCATGTTATTTCTGCATCCATATAGACACCGTACCTTTGTGAATTCTGCCATCCGATTCTGCTGCTCCTTTGGGAATAATGGCTTTTACATAAATACCACCATGTCGGACGCTGGTATTCACACCTCCCTAAATAGAAAAGACAAAGTGGCAGGTATTGACATGGAAGTATTTGCATGTTTTCAAAGGTGAGCACTAAAAAGGGTTCGAGCTGCCAGACAAAGCTGACTCCACATCAGCTTGTTCAATTATTTTAATGCCCAGTAGCACTGTTAGCTATATACCCAAATGGCAAAGGCAGTCTGCTCTTTTGTGTTTCTCTCTCTCTCTCTCTCTCTCTCTCTCTCTCTCTCTCTCTCTCTCTCTCTCTCTCTCTCTGACTCTCTGTGTCTGTCTGTCTCTCCTCTTTACTGAATTCGGAAAGTGTCAATATGCTGCATTTTGACTAGTAAGGAAGGAACTGTTGCCCCTTTCTGTGTCCTGAATTATGAGCAAGCAGAAAGCAACGCCCATCTGTGCAAGACCAGTGTAAGAACATAACTACAAAGAAACTCTCACTATTAGATTGCATCTGTGAATCTGAGAGCACATCCCTTGGGTTAAGGAAAAAGCAGCTTTCCTTTTATCTTAAAGGAGGCTGAGAATGGTGGGGTACACCTTTAAGAGACAGAGGCAGGTGAATCTCTGTGAATTCCAGGCCAGGCAGGGCTACATGGATAGATTCAGTCTCAAAAGAATACAACAAAAGAAAACAAAACCAAAACAAAACCTAAAAATAAAATAAGAAAAAAAAAAGGCTTTGGTAGAAAAGAGAGTGTGTGTGTGTGTGTGTGTGTGTGTGTGCGCATGCATGCATGCATCTGTACAGGTGTACGTTCATACATGTGTGTGTACATGTGCGCATTCATGGGTATGCATGTACATGCATGCATTCATGCAGGTGCACATTCATGAGTGTGCATGTTAGTCTAGAGGTTGATGTTGGGAGTCTTCTTTAATTGCTTCTCTGATTTCTGAGGTAGAGTCTCTCTCTCCGAATACCTAGTCCACTGTCTGGGCTAGACTGGATGATCAGCAAGTCCTGCAGCCCTTCTATCTCCCCAGTATGGAGAACAGGCAATTCCCACTTATTTTTTTTTTAAACCACAGGGAAAAAAAGAGTAGTGTACACATTTTAAATAAGCTTTAAGGTAGTTAATTATCAGCGTTTGGAAGCACTTGGTAAGTGTCCATCAGAGTCACTGTGACTCAGCCAACATGTTGGACTACAGTGGTCTGCTGGGGGATGAAGAAGAGAAGGTGTGGAACCTTGTCAAACAGTACCGTGACACTTATCCCCAAGCTGCCATCAGTTTTAGCCAGCTCAACCTCAAACATGTCTCCAGGCTTAGGAGGTGATGCAGAAAAGGTTGTTAAGCTCATGTTGTTGGATGTATTCAGTGAGGAGGAGGGTTCCTTGATGAAGAAAAAGAAACAAACAAAGGAGGAGTTCTCATTAGAGCCCAAACCAACTCTTAGTGGAAACAAATGCTTTTTCAGAAAAAAAAAAAAATTTCTAAATCAAGGTATTAAGGAATAAAGTATATATCAAGACCATGAAGGCCAGGAGAGGTTCCAGACACTTTTGGTTCAGGGCGCACTCATTTTATTGTTTAGGAACCTGACACCCAGAAGGTGAACCTGGTCAAGGTAGAAGGAAAACAGAACTCAGCTTCAGAAGAGCCTTGGCCCATGCTTTCTGCTCCTGAGCTTGACATATACTCACTTTCTTTAGGAGTCAGGATGTACCAAGGAAGCAGACTAATCAGTGTCTAAGCTAGCCAGCCTGAGGCTCGCTCTGCTCATGCATGCAAATGCAGTCTAAACATCAGCTAGGCACTCTTCCTGAAGGCAGGGGGCTGGTTTCTGTGACGAACGCTGCTGCATCCTCCGAGAAGGAAAGCTATCTATGAACTTCCCTCTAAAACTGCTTCTGAATGTGAGCTTACAATCCTATCATGTCAAGAGTGAAGCCGCTGCTGTCTCCCACATAGAACTTCAGGAGAACGCAGGTAGTCCACGGCAAACCCAACTGCCCATACTATGAACTCTCTACGAGCAGCTTTTCAGATATCAAAGTTCTCTACTGATATGCGTTTAAATATGTACGAGATCAAAATCTGAGCAAATCCACTTCAGGGTTAGTATTCAAAGCCATCGATTGCCAGTCAGCATCAAATGCAGCAGCAGTTAGGAGAGGAAGATACAAGCTGCTCTTCCTTTCCAGAACCATGTGAACATCCTAGTAGGGCACATCACTCTCTAACGGATTTACCATTTTTCTGCTCTGTTAAATGAAAACACAGTGCCCCTCCCCAAAGGATTAAAAAATTAAACCATGCCTGTTTTGGCGTTTGATGGCCTTGACTGCTGGTGTAAGTGGAATCGTCTATGTCGGAATCAGCACAGTCAGGGTGCTCAATCACATCAGAGATGGCTGGCCGCTTGGCCTTGCTTCGGTTACTGTTGGAGAAGGTCTTCTTGGTGACCTTGGATGTCACAGATGGTGATGGGCTGCCATGTTGTGGTTCCTGACAGCCTCGGTCGCCTAAGTGGCTGGCAAAGAAGCCATTGACTTGGCTCTGGGACAAGCTGGCACTTTCAGTCCTGGAATCTTGGGAACTGAGGCTCCCTTCCCTCAGGCCCCCAGAGAGCCCAAAGGGATTCTCTGGGATGTGCCTCAGAGTGCCCTGTTGCCAGGGCTGGTCCTCCGACGGGTCTGTAGCACTATCTTGCATGTAGGATGGTTTCTTCGAGTAGCTTTTCATCCCATTGGCAAAATGAACAGGAGTAGAAGGCACTAGAGTTAAGATGCAAAGTGAGAATAGTAAGTCAATGACATACGTGCCTGTAAAGACATATCCACACCCAGACACACACACAAGTCAGTGACACATGTGCCTGTAAACACACACTGACATATACACAGAAGCACATAAATTCACACACACATGCATGTATACATACAAACACATGGTGTATGCGTGTGTGTGCACACACACAAATGCATGCACAAGATCTTATGGAGACAGGTGGGAAGACTTTACGATGAAATCACATGCACAACACGCAGAGCAGGCTCTGAGCTTCCTCTGTTTCTGTCTCCTCACAACGCTCAGCTTTAACCCTTATGTAAGACACCCGGGGTTCCATCTCCATTTTCATTTCTAAGATTCACCTGGTTTCAGAGATAACTTAGTTTCTTTGAGCCTCTAAAATTATTAATCTGTTCATTAAATTGATTGATTGCAGAACTGGACTGAACCCAGTGTCTTACACATGCGGAGTAATCATGTTCCCCGAGCTGCATCCCTAGGCTGTTTGGTCCTATTTACATCTATGCCTGCTTCGTACTATCTTGGCAGACTGTGGTTTTGGCCCTTGTCTTTTTGTTCCATTTCATTTTATTTAGTTTTGAGGGTACTGGGACTCAAACCTAGGGCCTTGTGAATATAAATCATGTCTCTCCCACAGAGCTTCAGCCCAGCCAGCCTGTGTGTTCGGTAACATCGCAGAAGGACCATCTCTAAATCCTTATGCATAGTCTGTACCAAAGTCACATGTGAGAATTGCAGATGTGATTTATACAAGTATTACAGTTTTTATGTATTGACACTAAGGGTAAAAGAGTCAAAAAATTATGAACAGAAATAAGACAACAAGAACAATCAGTTAAAAAAAAGTCAAATTTCTCAGGAGCAAAGACATAACACATGAACAGGAATCTAAGCAAACTTAGAAATAAGTCTATGAAAAGATATCTTTGTATTTCTCAAGAACATGCAGTTTAATTCTAAGGTTATTCTTTCCCCCTATTTGGCAGAGGGGGGAGGGAGGGAGGGATGGAGAGATGGATGGATAGATAGATTGATTTCCAGCATCACTAAAGTATGAAGGGGGCTACCCTGTCTACTTGGTTAGGCCACAAACTGAAACACTTCCTGCAAGGTAAATTGGTAGCACATGTCAGAACTTTATTTTTTTTTCCTTTTTTTTTTTTTTTGGTTTTTCGAGACAGGGTTTATCTGTGTAGCCCTGGCTGTCCTGGAACTCACACTGTAGACCAGGCTGGCCTCGAACTCAGAAATCCACCTGCCTCTGCCGCCCAAGTGTTGGGATTAAAGGCGTGCACCACCACCGCCCAGCATGTCAGAACTTTAATGTGCATATTCCTTTTTTTAGTTTTAGATTTCTAACTTCTAGAAATATTTATATTTCTGATCTTATTACAAGTAAGTACATTTGTTGAAGCACTATTTGTAATAGAGTTATCAATAACCATATATATTACTGTATACATAAATATATCTATTTTTTTTTTTTTACTATGTTTAGCTGGCCTAGAACTTGCTATTATGTGTCCAGGCTGGTCCAATACTCAGAGATCTGCCTGTGTCTGCCTACTGCATGTTGGGATTAAAGGCCTGCTACACCATGTCCAGAAAATTAAATAAGTTATTATTTTTCTCATATTGTAAGCTATAATGCCACAGTACAAAGATAGATTCATTCGTGAAGTTCAAATTGATAAACTTTCTGCAAGGCAAATTGCTAGCACATGTCAGAACTTGAATGCACATATGGACATGCAAAACAACAAAGTGATAGACTAGCATAAAATTATGGTTTTAGTAATAATGCACATGTGGGGGGTGTTCTACATTTATTGTACATGTACAAACCACACAGATACCAACCACACACAAGAAAACATACTCCAGTTTTCTTAGCGAACAGCCAACTTTTACTATGGATTGCGTGTTTTACAGAAATCAAGTTCATTTTAATATGTCACTTTAAAGAAATGGGCAGAGAGGAGCTGGGGGGGGGACTGCTAGAAGAATTTGCCTTGACGTGCATGTGCAGGGACTGCTGCAGCTCATGATGGAGGTGTTACGACCAGGAGGCTCTGCCCTCAAGAATGGGTTACAGCTGGTATGTGCAGGACACAAGCTCTGCCATGGAACGCCTTAGCAAAACGTTCCCTTTCCCCTGACTGTCAGTTCCCAGTCCCCACAGCTGGAGGAAATAACTCTGTTCTCTAAATTACCCATCCTCAAGCCTAGCATGGTAGTGCATGCCTGTAATGCCAGAATTCCAGAGCCTAAGCAGAAGGATGGCTGTTTCAGGCCAGCCTACATTATGAAGTGGAAACTTGTAGTTCTTTGCAAAGTCAGACAATGATGTGCTGGAGCACACAGGTGAAACGATGTCTTGCTAAAACAAACACATGAAAGAATGTTTTGCAGAGGCAGACACAGGTGAAAGGATGTTTGGCTATAGCAAACACGTGAAAGGACCATGATGAAGGAATATAAATGGATCCCACAGACAGCGGGAGACGAGCATTGAACCTTGGTTTGGTTTGCTCTGCCTTGTTATTCTTCTCTAATGACACACATGCATTGGTTCACCTTGAGCTCAACTTGTGATAACTTTGCCATTAAGAGAAACTCGCCCAAGAACTTCTCCTGAGGTTCCTGTAGCGGCTTGCAGGTTTGTGTGCCCTTGCCTCACACTGGTTGGCAAGCCTGGCAGTTTCTTCAAGGTTAAACTATAGTTACTGGTTTGTGACTGGTGACTGCCTGCCTAGAGGACTGGTCTGCAGCTGCTGAGTCTTATTTGGTGTTTTCTACGGGGCTGAACTGCTGCCCAAGAAAATCAAGCTCAGCCAGGCGGTGGCGGCGCATGCCTCTAATCCCAGCACTTGGGAGGCAGAGGCAGGTGGATTTCTGAGTTCGAGGCCAGCCTGGGCTACAGAGTGAGTTCCAGGACAGCCAGGGCTACACAGAGAAACCCTGTCTTGAAAAAAAAAAGAAGAAGAAGAAAAATCAAGCTCACCCTGAAAGAACTATTGCTGAACAGGCCTATTTCCCCCATATCCTAATATCCCTTCTGTTCCACTACCTCTGCTGGGTGGTGGGCTAGAGGAGAGGTTGAACTCTTATTAAAAGCAGGTTGCAGAGAAATTTATGCCTACAATGTTACATAGTAAATTCTAGGCAAACATGGGCTATAAAGGGAGACTGTCTTAAAAAACTATTCCCTACATAACTAACTGGGTGGGGGTATTACTGTACCACAGATTTAACTGAGTGGGGGTATTACTGTACCACAGATTTAACTGAGTGGGGGTATTACTGTACCACAGATTTAACTG